CCGTGAGACCCACAAAAGGTAAGCAAGGCTTTGAATTGAGCCAAACAGCATTTTAAAATGTCTTACTTCCGGTTTCTCTCCCTGTTATACCTCAAGCCTCACATGTTAAGTGGCCAAACTTCACCTCGGTCTCTCAGGTCCCTGTGCTTCGGCTTATAGGAAGGAGGCTTCTGGAAAGTTGTGAACAGCAGAGAGATCTCCTGGCCTCAGTGACTCATTACAGGACCACTTGTAATTGATGCTTCTCTATTTTCAGTAATGACCAAGATGATGTGGACCTCAGACTCACACACTGAACACCAGGGCCAAACACCCCCCTCCCCCTGCCACTGCACCGCTGTGCACAGGGAAACAGCCTCCTCTGTGCCCTGCCCTCAGATCCAGGAGCAGACCTGACATCTGTCACGGGTGGGGGTCCGTGCGTCTATTCCCTAACACTGGGAACTTTCTAGAATGCCCAGGGGGACGGTTGCTCCAGACTGGCAGGAGCTCAGAGCCCATCACAGTCTAGTCTAGGAGACGTGCAGTTAACTCAGACAAGAAACCAGCCGTTTCCCAGAGGAGCCTTCCCCAAGTCACCTCGTAAACACATACGGAAAGAAGGAAACAAGACTGTGCACAGGCGAGGGCTGCATTTCGCGTGGGGAATTCTTATTTTTTCTTATTCACAGACTCGAACCATAAACGTCGAGCTTGGAAAATTCAATGAGAAACCGTTTCACATCTAGAGAAGCAGTATCTAAATCATCTGCATAACGGAAACCGTTTCCGCAGACTGTGGCTGCCAGAGGACACGTATGTTTAAAAAGAGAATGACAATGTCTAATTCTGCCCCTTAGTCTATGAGACGACCTCTTGTGTTTGAAGAGCACTGGCTTTCTGTCTTCCCAGTGCACGCATTTCCTGGGGCCAACCTGATGGAAGGGAGTCGCGGGGGATGGGGGGGCTTAGTCAGCACGACGTGGCCCCCAGCCCCTCCCACAGTTCTTCCTCTCCTCCCCACGCCGCCCCCCCCCGCCACCCCACATCTGTCCTGTGCATGCCCTTGCTCTGCTCAAGCCCCAGTCATTTTGCTACATGCGCCCAGATCATCCTTCTCCACCTTGGCCTACGGGGCCAGCTGCTGCTCGCAATTCCAGATCTCACCTGGGACCCCATCTCAAGGGCCATCTTGGCTGGACTCTAGGACGCTTCTCTGCCTCCCTCAGGGGACTCTGAGCTCCCCCACAGCAGCAAGGCAGCCGCCACCCCCAGTGACGTGTCCCAGGCACCAGCATGGGACACAGGACTGCCCATGGAGAACCACTGTACACACAGCAGGGGCACTTACTCCAGCTAAGCCTTACTGTGAGCTCACTGTGTGCCGCAGGCACCTCCCCCAGACATTTCCTTGCATAATTCATTCGATCCTGGACACAAACCCAGGAGGGAGGTACCTCTTAACAGCCCCACTTTATAGGCGTGGAACCCAAAATTCAAACTGGCCAAACAACTTTTCTAAACACAAACAGCTGGCAGGTGTCAGATGTAGGATTTGAACCTGGAAAACCCAGAGCCTATGGCTCTCCCCACTATGAAATTCTGCTTTCCTGATCATGGCAAGCTTTCCCTATTTCTGATTTAGAGATAAATGGAACAGAAAAGTCAAGTTAAATCATGTGGCCCCGCAAAACCATTCCACTAATGAATGTCAAAGATATCATTAGGTCCCATGCATTTTGACTCTTTCTGGTTCTTTTTCAGTATATCCTACTTCATTCAAAATATATTTTTTTCTTTCTTTTTGCTTTCTTAGAACTACGTGCAGGTGATGGAATTAGGTCTGGATGATTGTATGCAAACAGCACTGTTAAAACTTCCTTCAAAAAAAAAAACAAAAAAAAAAAAAACAACTTCCTTCATTGTTGTACCTGCAGAGGGCGCCCCACCCGGGGTGGGGTATATGCCTCCTCCCCTTAAAGGTGGGCTGGCCTTGCAGTTTGGTAAAGGGACCCCTTGCCAGTTACCATACCTAGAATCTCTTCTCTTCTCTCTCACCCCTTGCCAGTAACCAGCCCAGCCCAGTCGTTCAGAGACCTAGAATCTCTCTCTCTCTCTCTCTCTCTGTCTCAGTGAACTGAGCTACCATATAAGATGTACTGCTCAACTGGAGACAGGCACTCAGCTGTCCCCTTGGGCAGTCCAGCCACCCCAATCAAGGGATCAGACATGTCAACAATCCAACCTTTCTGCAGAAATCTCAGCTAAAAAGCAGCACCTGTATGACCTCCCTGAGCCCAGCCAACTGAAAACATCAAGAATAAATCATTGTCTTAAACCACTAAGTTTTGGCGTGCTTGGTGATGCAGCCACATCTAACGAAACATCATACAATTGGAAATTCCCCTTGAGTAAGAACTCACAGATGCGGTCTCTTACTCATGGAGGAATCCTTGCTGTGACTATTGCTGGCCTCTGTGTCAGCATTCTGTGTCAGCATTATGCTCCTGTAAAACCCAAGGGCATAGCAAGTGTGCCCTAATCATCCCCCTGTCAAACCAGACCAAAGAAGAGAGCACGCTTCTTTTTCTCCCCCAGACTGCAGTTCATTTTTCTCTTTGTTTCCATGGTTCAACTCCTGCTCTCCCCCAGCCGCCTGCTGGCCACAGTCCCCTGGCCCTCACGGTGGGGACTGCCGGCCCCCAGAGAAGGCTCCACTGAGGAACTGAGCTCAGGCGCTAGAGTCACAGGGGAGGAACGGAGTCCTGGTCAGAAACCTGCGGCTGGGGGTCGGCAGGTGGGCCGGGGCGCGGGCCCCACCGGATTTCCCGGTCCCAGCCTCGCCCCTGAGAACAGATCTGGCCTCGCACCCCTGATCGTGCAGCCACTCACAGCTCAGACTGACTGGACACTTCCTTTGTGCCAGTTCCTGTCCTGGCAATTGACATTTATAATCTCTGTGGATGTGAAATGCCCTCCTTGATCATCTTTAAGACAAGAACACTATAGGGGCGCCTGGGTGGCTTAGTCGGTTAAGCGTCCGACTTTCCCTTAGGTCATGATCTCGCGGTTCGTGGGTTCGAGCCCCGCATCGGGCTCTGTGCTGACTGCCAGCTCAGAGCCTGGAGCCTGTTTCAGTCTGTGACTCCCTCTCTCTCTGACCCTCCCTGGCTCACGCTGTCTCTCTCTGTCTCCTAGAAATAAATATAACATTAAAAAAAAAAAAATTAAAAAAAAAAAAGACAAGAACACTATAGAGAATGGATTTGTATCCTCATCCTTTTCTTTTAAATGTTTATTTATTTTGATGGGGGTGAGGAGAGAGAGAAAATCCTAAGCAGACTCTGGAGTGTCAGTGCAGAGCCCGACATGGGGCTCAGACCCATGAACCATGAGATCATGACCTAAACCAAGACCAAGAGTCAGATGTTTATCCAACTGAGCCACCCAGGCACCCCCATCCTGATTCTTCAGGTAAGGAAATAAAGTCCAAGTCGCCAATTCCTGTGGTCACACATGAGTTCATGAGCTCAGGGCTCCTGCTCTGTCAGCCAATTCCAGCGACCTTCTTCTGGCAGAACTTGGGGTGGAGACAGCGCTACCCAAGCAGGGCACCACAGGCCTCCTGGGTGCACACGGGGCACAGGAGACTTGGTCTCAGGGGCCTGATTTCTTCACCACACAGGAGCAGCATGGAAGACAAGGAACGCCGTGGAAATGTGGTGACTTGATGATTACTTAACGCTGGACTCTGCCCAGGGCCAGAGGAGGAGCAGGGGTCTCCAATATCTTCCCATTCCTAGCCCACAGGTTCTGGTCAGCCTGCTGCCCATAAGCCAGTAGCAATCCTCGCCGTCCCCTTGTGTGGTCTGAGTAGCCTGCTCTGCCCCAGCCCTCCCAGCCTTTCCCCAGGGTGGAGCTAAGCAGACCACTGGTGGCTGGTCTACACTCTCCCACTGCACTCTGATCTGTGGGTATTTAATTGCATGCAATTCTTTTTTTTTTTTTTTAAGTTCTTTTTTGAGACGGGGGTGGGGGAGAAGTGGGGGAGGGGCAGAGAGAGAGGGAAAGGCAGAATCTGAAGCAGGCTCCAACTCACGAACTGCAAGATCATGACCCGAGCCGAAGTCGGACGCTTAACTGACAGAGCCACGCAGGCACCCGGGCTGAAAGCAGTTCTATTCACCAGAGTCTCATTGCCAATAATGAAGTGGCGCAATTACCAGGGAAATTCCAAAAGGAATTTTCTGAAGGGTGGCAACAACCAGAGCTTTTGACTCCACTGGATTTAATATCCATAATAATCTTTACTACCTTTATTTGTATTTTTAAAGTTCAGCCAACTTTCCATAATTCCATCTTTTTATCTCCTTACTTTCTCTCTACGCCATCCCTATGTCTTTTTCTTTCTTCTTGAAATATGAGTGATCAACACATTCTCCCAAACTGACTAACATAAAAAGTATTTCATTTTGGTGCAGATCCTTATTTCTTATGTAATAAGCTCTATATTTTGGACTCAACGCTCTATCACACCGTCAGAGAGCCCTGAATGCCCACTAATCCCCAGCCTTCTCAGAGCCAGAACCTGGGCTGTCTTTGGCAATCCTTCTCCCAGAGCTGGGGGTGTTGATCTTGCCTGGGAAGGTCTACCACAACTGCCAACTTACTCAATCGTCTACAACTGGCTGATCATCAGGACTGACAACAGGATTCTTCCGACCCACTTGCTGGATGCCATCTGCCATCCTCTTTCTCCTTGACTTGACCCTGGCCAACCCTTCACAGCCAGGTTTACCCCTGGGAGAGGGTGTTCTCCTTCAGATGCACTCCCCTGACAACAAGATACACACGTGGCTACACCAACAGTGGGTCTCCATTTCCAAAATTTGCTCCTCGAACACGCAGCATGACTTGCTGAATGCCGCTGTGTATGCTGCCCTCTGCCATGCCCTGGCATGCAGTGAGAAACGACGGTCTACCAGTGGAGAATAAGCGCCCACTCCCATCCTGCCGCTCACCTGTCTGCCCAACGACAGAGGCGCTCAGTCTGTGGGGGATCCTTGAGGACACCTTCAAGGTCACTCGGATCTGGTAGTACCTGAGGAAAGAGCAGAGGACAGGCTGATGACGATCAGACTCCTTACTGTTGGCTGCTGTTTCTTTTTTTTTTTTTTTTTTTTATTTCTAGGAGAGAGAGAGAGACAGCATGAGCAGGGGAAGGTCAGAGAGAGACCGAAATAGGCTCTAGGCTCTGAGCTGGCAGTCAGCACAGAGCCCGACGCGGGGCTCGAACCCATGAACCGCGAGATCGTGACCTAAGCGAAAGTCGGACGCTTAAACGACTAAGCCACCCAGGCGCCCCTGGCTTCTTCTAAAAGTAGCTAGACTTACTCCTAAATGCTGTAGACAACCATGGAAGCTTCTAGGCGGCGTGTGTGATCATTTGGCATCAAAGAGGGATTCATTTTGTCACCACAGTGGGAAAGGGACAGAATGGGACCGGGATGGAAACAGGGAGTTGAGTTGACGGGAGATCATACGAGACGCACACAAGGTTGGTGGCAGCAGGAACAGGTGGGCCGGTCATGTGGCACAGGTACATGAAGGGACATGGTTTTTCTTTGGTCAGGAAAGTCCATTCTACAGGAAAATGGAAGCTTTAGTGCCTGGTGCAAAATCCACACATAGACTGGGCTGCTGTCATGCTGCAACACGGACAAATACTTCCTTTGGAAACACAACAGCTGAGCTGCCAGTCCTGGGGTCACTGCCAAACACCGTTCCCCGTATTTCTGTGCCATTCTTAATATGTCACTCCCATTTCCAAACCCTGTCGTTTCAGGACACCGTGCGGGTTTCCACGCCATCAGCAAGGCCTTCGGTCTGGCCACTGCTGCCACAGGTGCAGACGCATCTTTTGCAATTAATGGCCCTTTTGCTCACAAGCTCTTAGGGACATTTCTGGCATCATAATTGTCCTCCCCTTCCAATGATTTAAAGCCCATTGTGAAATGGAATGGATGAAACCAAGCGAAACAGAGGTAAAATGGACCATGAACACACCCATCTCCCACGCCTCACTGAGCTTGTGGCTGGGGGCGACAGTGTACCGTGCATATCCCCCCAGGACATTCTGTGGATGGCCTAGTGTTTGTTTTATGTGTGAAGAGGGCAGAGGAGATGCACTGGGGCCAGATTCCCAGCTGGAGGTCAGGTGACATCACTTGTGAGCTGTGTGACTTAGAACATACCACACAGCTTCTTGGAACTTGTTTCTGTATCTGGAAAAGGATGATTAAAAAAAAGTCTCTGCCATGACATCTGCTTCCAGGAAAGACAGAGTGGACATACTCTTCCCTAGCCTTCTCACCACGTTCAACTAAAACCTCTAGACAATATAGATAAACAAAAGATTATTGCAGAAGAAAAAGAAACCAAACAGCCCAAGGACCTCAAGTTCCAAAGAAAAACAGGGTAATGAGTTCTCTGCAATTTCTTTTTGCCTCATATGTCCCAGAGAGAAGCCAGCTACCCAGAAATACTAATGGCTGCAGATGAAAGAAAGAAAGAAAGAAAGAAAGAAAGAAAGAAAGAAAGAAAGAAGGAAGGAAGGAAGGAAGGAAGGAAGGAAGGAAGGAAGGAAGGAAGGAAAAGAAAAGAAAAGAAAAGAAAAGAAAAGAAAAGAAAAGAAAAGAAAAGCCAAGCCCCAACAAAAATGCCTGCTTTCTCTAGACAAAGGACCAGACGGGGCAGCCAAGCATAACAGAAAACTTTTAGCCGACAGTAGTTATACTCTAGTGATACTACACACAAAAGCTGTGGCCTCACCTCCACCCATACCAGCAAAGGCCAATGGGATCTCGATGTCCACTACTACCAAGTTTTAATGAGGCACCTTCCTCGCCCAGCAAGAGAAGGTCTTTGAAAAGAGGGCCAGACTTTCACTGCTAATGGATGGTGATGAGAACCCCATCGACCCCAGTTTAAGTACAGACCATGTGGAGGGCCTGAGTTTCTACCCTCCTCACCTCAAGTAATGAGGACACAAATATGCTCAAAGGATTTCTGACAATAGTTCAAAAGCCATTCAAGGGAGAAAAGGTGACCTTCTCAGTCAATGGTCCTAAGATGGGCATCCATAGGCAGAAACCAAACCAAAACCAAAACTAAACAAAAAGCTCCACTTAAATCTCACACCTTATGCAAAAATTTATAATTCAAAGTAGATTGTACACTTACATTAAAAATTGAAAACTATTAAGCCTTTAGGAAGGAAAATAAAAGAAAGCTTTAAAATCTAGGGACAAGGGTGCCTGGGTGGCTCAGTCAGTTAAGCATCTGACTTTGGCTCAGGTCATGACCTCCCAGTCCATGAGTTGAAGCCCTGCATCAGGCTCTGTGCTGACAGCTCGGAGCCTGGAGCCTGCTTTGGATTCTGTGTCTCCCTCTCTCTCTGCCTCGCCCCAGCTTGTGCTCTGTCTCACTCTGTCTCAAAAAATAAACATTTAAAGAAAAGTTTGATAAATTAAGAAAATTAAATCTAAGGATAAGCAAAGAGTTCTTAAAATCGACCCCAAAAGTGTGATTCACACACACACACAAACTTCATCAAAGTTAAAACTTTTGTTTTAAAAGTTAAAAACTTTTGTTCTGCAAAATGTGCTACCTTATAAGAGGGTTATATTATATGACAAGTTACACACAGAGAAAATATTTGCAAATCACAAGCCGCTGACCATCATTATTTGTGGATTCTGTATCTGTGAATTCTGCTACTTGTTCAAGTTCATCTGTAACCTCACACTCAATACTCTGACATGCTCCTGGGGAGAAAGGTCTGACTCACCACACGCACGCGTTTCCACTCGAGGTTGAGCAAAGCAACACTACTTTCTTTTTCCAGTTCTCATAGTGTAAACAAATATTGCTTACAGTTTATTTAGTGCCAGGTTTTTTTTTTTTGGTATTTTTGTGCTTTTTGAGGGTGACGCTGCTATTTAAAATGACCCCAGCACTGTAACTCAGGCCTGAAGGAAGCCCGTCTAATCCACTGTAGTGCTGTCCAATGTCCCTAACTGCAAGACGGCTGTGATGTGCCTTACAGAGACTACAGTGAGTTAGACAAGCTTTGTTCAGGCCTGAGTTACAGTGCTATTGGCCATGAGTTCAAGGTTAGTGAATCAAAGCTAGGTAGATAGATGGATAGATAAATAGACTGATAGATAGACAATAGATAGATAAATAGACAGACAGATAGATAGGCAATAGATGATAGATGATGGACGATAGATAGATAGATAGATAGATAGATAATAGATAGATGGATAGCAAGCACTGCTTTAAACAGAAACACACCTAAAACAAGGTTAGGTACTGATCAGTTGACAAACAAGTTGCAACCAGAGGCTCCCAGCACCCAGCTCTATATTTCCCTGAGGAGCAAGAACTCGTCATATGGGGCAGTTTACTACCATCGTGAAATCCCCAGGGGAGCACAGGTAACAGGTAAGGTCACACATCTGGGTGAGGGAGACTGGGGCAGAGCGGAAGATCCCTGCCCTGTCGGTAGCAGACAGCTGGTCCTTAGCAGTAGCTAATTACCACTGTACAGAAACGCTGACTGTGTATTGCTAGACCTTTCAAGTTTTCCAGGGAAGACAGAAATTTGGATTTTCGATAAAACATCTTTAAAATGTTAAACATTGCTTCATAAATTAGTGACGGCGACGACAGCAAGAGCGAGATGGTTAGAGGCAGCAAACCACGGCCACCGCATTCACAATCAACCACCGTGTTGACACATTTGCAGGCTAACTTCCCTGGCATCCATAATCGGCAAACTCTGATTTATACAAATACAAAATGTCACTTCTAGTGTTTCTTTAAACACGATTTCATCATCAAAGGAAGGGAGGCGAATCCCAACCTCTACCACCAGTTTTGATATTCTAATGGCTTCTTCTCTAAACACAAAATGGGTCAGTCATTGCCAGAGACTACACATCAGAATTCTGTCAGGCTGTACTGGGAGCAGTTATGCTCAGGATTTATTAAGCACTACCGTGCCGGGGCCTGCATCAGGAACCCCAGTGTATGTAATCTTGTTGAGTCCCCTAAGAATCCTCTGTGAGAGAAAGGACCATCTCAGATGCTAACCAGAGAGGACACTGGGCCATTGGAAACACCTAACTATTTACCCAAAGTACTGAGGTTACCAAAGGGCAATGAGCATTCCCATCCAGAGATAAAATGTATTTTTTTTAGTCTGCCACCCTTCACATTTTATTGCATAAATTAAAACTTTTTATAACTAATTCCAAAGCCCTGTCTGAGTTCTTATTCCTTAAAATCACTTGGTGTTGCTGAATCTTACTTCAAGGAATCAGTCATCATCTTGAACTTCAGAAGCTTTACAGGCACATATTGAAAGAAATAGGTTTCATTTAGACTTGCCCAATTGGGCTCTGCCCTGATTAAACAGAATGCTTAAACCCCTTTAATAATTCCCTTTTTCTGACAGATCATAAATTCATAAACCATGTGTCAAACATGACATACATGATATCGTTTGATCCCTGCAGGAAATCTTTGATACATATACTGTGATTTCCATCTTAAAGATGAGAAAACTAGGCCCTGGAGATGAAGGGATTTGTCTAAGCTCATGCATTCAGTAAGTAATGTTAGCACATCCGCAGGAATGGCCTGATTATTTCCCACAGGCATTTCCTTTAACCGTCTTAGAGCCACCTTCTTCCGGCTGGGGTCGTTTAAGGAAGACACTGTAAAGAAGGGAGCAGTTAGCTCAAGTCCTTGGAGGGGAAGAAAGTGATGGGGGAGTGAGTTCTAGTTGGAAGGAAGAAAGAAGCTAAGACCAGGAGATAGAAACTTCTAGACAGTACGCCAGCATGTTCCAGTGGTGTAGACTGCACAGGACTCCTTTCGGGAAATAAATAAATATAGTCATCTTTTACTTCATTGGGTTCTATCTGTAAGAGTGGCATAAACTATGACCTTTACATAATGTGGTGGGCAGAATAATTCCCCTTCCCAAGGCGGACATGTCCTAATGTCCAGAACCCATAAAAGAGAATTAAC